AGAGTGCTATTTAAATATCTGTCTTAAACAAAAATTGTCATGAGCTTTTCTTTTCTTTTTTTTTCCTTTAGGAGAACATTCTAGTTGGTAAGTTTATTACCTTTCAAAATGTACTTGGCACCTGCCTTAAGCAGCAAACATATTGTGTACATCTTAAAATTATTTTAATTGATGGAAAAAAAATTACATTTTCAAGTAAAATTAAGGCTTCTTATGAAAATTATCCAGGCTCTCTTTTGTAAAGCTTTTAAGAGTGCATTTGAATATAATTAGCAAAAATAGACACTGAGTTAATAACATTTTAAAGTAATAAAACAATATATTTTGTTTTTGCCCAAGAATTTCTTCCCAGAACAGAGGAGATTTTCTCCATATGAGTTGTAATTTAGTCTCTGTTTTTTGAACTGTATTAATGTATATTGAAGTCCCAAAGTTAAAGCCATCATTTTCAATTAAGTAACACTACTAAAAGACCTAAATTTTCAAAAAAAATTAGCATTTTTTCTTGATAAATAAACTACATTTTCAGAAATTACTGCTTAAATATGCATTAATGTACTAGCAGTATTTTTTAAGGTGAAGTTGCCATGGCATTTAATGTATGTATAGAAAGTGAATAAGGAAGTGGCAGATTAGTAAGATACAGAATTTAGAATTAGGTTAATTTTAGAAAATTATGTTGTAATATATGGGTTCCAGTATATCCCACCATAAAAATTCTATAGAGGAGATCAGACAGGTATAACCTGGGTAACTTGGGATGATGGACATTTTCGACTAATATTGACAATGTAAATATATTTTAGGACTAGTATACATGTGGCTTATGAATTGGTAGAAAGAATAAAAAGCTAAACTATATAGTTGATAATCCATAAACCATTTTATAGTACTGAAAGATAAGGTTTCATTATTGGTTGTATTAAATACAGTTTTCCTGAACATTAACGGGTCAAAACAATTTTCCTGGACTATGGAACATTAACCCAGAACTTGTTTTGATTCTTGGATGTACATAATAATGCCAACTAACTTTATTTACTTTCTTGTTTACATGTGGGGTCTTTTGTTTTTAAAATTATTTTGTTAAAAAAAATCCCAATAAAGATTTATTGCTGTTAATGCTTTATGTTTTCCCTTCTCTTTCACTCTGTTTTTGGTTTCTGTTGAAGTTAATATTTTTATGCATATCTGGTAATTTTTCAAAAGAGTGATTTTTTATTATTTTTCTAGATAGAAAATAAGATAACTCTGCTACTTATATTTTAACAAAAATTACCTTTTTAAAAGAATTAGCAGTTGGTGCAGGACTGATGTTTGTGAATGGAGTAAGCCTAAGAATTGGGGGTTTCATGTGAAATTGATCTAATAATTCCTTTCCTACAATTTCTTCCAGGAGTTAAACATTTTTAAGTATTACTTTTACTCAGGTAAGTCTTAGTAAATGTGCATGCCATAGAAGATGTTGGTATGCAAAGGAGACAGTAGAGTCATTCTGACTTGACTACATTTATAAAATGCTCTATTGGCAGTTTTCACAATCACTATAAATTTGTAATGCTATGCCATAATTTGCTAAAAATAAAACTTCCTTTTAGATCCTTAAGATTAGGAGAAACAAAGATTCTTACATACTGAATTTAATGAAAATACTTTTTTTAAAAAACTTGCTTCCCTAACTCCTCTTTTTTGGCAAAAGGATTTTCCTAACAACTATTCAAATGAGATTTCAAATAGAAAGAGCAGGAGAGTACAGTAATATCTCTGTTACCGAGAAGGATGCAGCCCAGTGTCACATTCTGTTACCAGGTGTGTAATTCATGGATGGAAGAGATTGCACAGTATCATATAAATATGAAAATGTATCATTATAGAAGTATGAAAATGTTAATACTGATGATGATAATAGTCTTAGAAAACAAAAGGACACATGATGTGATTGTGTTCTACACTGTATTCTATGCTCTGAGAGGAGTACCTGGTTAGGGCAGGGGCTAGTGGACAGGGGCTCAAGATGGTGACCCTGTAGATCAGAAAGAATCTGGCAGCCTGTGGGCTTTATTTGACCTGCACAGTGCTGTATATTTTATTATTTGCATCTGAGTGTCTTTAGGGGAAGCCTGCACTTTCTCCTTGGCCACTTGTATTTCTTACTAGCCAGGAGCCACACTTCTAGCCTGATCCCTTTGGGCCTAATTTAAATGTTCTCCTGTGTTAGACATTCTCACATTAAAACAGGGTGTGTCCAACTGTTATGTGTCCATAAAAGAGACCTATGACTTTCTCCTTTAATGTCTTTACTCTGCAAGAATAGGTCATTGCAGATACAGAAAAACAGATGAACTTTACAATTTCCTCTGTAGTAACTGAGTCCCATAAAGGGACTTAAGACCATTCTTCTAACCTTAGTTCTTTCAAGAGTCATTAGAATCAAATTCCTCTATTTGCCTTAGAGGAAGCCTGAGGATTGAAGTCCAATTTCAGGTACCCTGCATTGGAGCACCATACACACTCCTTCCCCCACCCCTGTCCTCACAAGAATTTGAAAACATACACATACACACATACCATCAATCCCAAAACCCTAGAAATATTTTTTAACTACACGAATCTTTCCGCCATTAGAGATGAAAAGGTGAATGTATTCAATCATCCCTACCAGGTAAAATTGAATGTAACAATCCATATAAACGACACAGGTCTTTCCATTTGAATGGACTACTCTACTGAATTCTGAAGATTTAACCATTGGAGAGTTCACAAGAACATAAGATGGAAAGACTGACTAAAGTTAGCCTTGGAGGTTTATTTCCAAAAGTACAAACACATAGATACTGCACAGTAAGTCACATTTGTCATTTAATTGCAGTTAAGAATTCTAAATAACAATCATTTTCTATTTTTTAGAAAGATCAATATTGAAATAGTATCTCATTATTAGAAGATAATAGTCTCAGAACTCAATACAAATGAGTTAGCAGTAGATATCAGTGTATTTACAACTAACTTGTGAATATATAAATAAAAGAATTTCTGTTTTATTATTAAGTATTGACTCAGAATAAGTACTTTTAGGGAGAGAAATCAATTCCCAATGCTAGTTGTATCTGAACTTGAATTACTATGATGAATGTCGGATGATATGATCATATATATATGTGATGACCTAGGTATATATATATATATATACATGCTTAGTTCTGTAATTTAAAGTAAGTCAGATTAAACATTCCCAGCACATTCATATTTAAAGTGCAAAAAAAATCCCTATTCTAGATTTATACTGCATTACATTTTGCCTCCTTTTTGCAAAGTTTCAAAGGTGTCCATATATGTATTTGTGTATGTGTGTGTGTATGTATGTATGTATGTATGTACATTCTATCCCTGCCTTTGTCAAACTAAAGAATCCCTTCCAAATTAGTGTATGTTATAAGCAGGTGAGTTATCCAGGGAAGGAACTTACACATGTATGTGGCTGAATAATTTGGTATTTACTCTTGAATAAGAAATTGTTATAAGCAGGTGAGTTATCCAGGGAAGGAACTTACACATGTATGTGGCTGAATAATTTGGTATTTACTCTTGAATAAGAAAAGCCTTCATATACTGTATTTAACACCTTGTGGGTGCTAGATATGTGGTTAAACATGGATGATTAGGCCACTGAAAACAACCTTTTTTTTTTTTTGCTAATAAACTGATGTTTCTAACCATCCAATTGATGGTGGTGCTTTGTGCATAAACATACAATCTACATACATTATGACTTGTATAATGCTTGGTCTTAATATCATAAAAAGCAAGAGACTGGACAATAAAATTTATTTAGTAAACATTCCAAGTCAGTACTAAAATTTAGTATAACTTTCTCCACTTTTGTTACATAAATTAGATAAACATTGTCAGATTTACATTCAAAATGCAAAAAAAATAGATTATGTTACAGTTTGCTTCTTGCAAATTTCAAAAGTGCACTCTTACAAATTAAGTATAAGCCTTGAGAAGCAATTCCCTGAATTTGAAAAGCTCAGTATATCAAACTTTTTTTTAATAATAAATCATATTCTAACCAAAGTGACAGTCTTTTTGACAGGGCCTCAGATTATTTTCTAGTGAGAGTTCAAAAATAAGCTACCTTATTAAATTGGGCAACCTTCACGTTTGTAGCCATTGTTAATATAACAGCACATCTGTTCATTTAACAAAAGTTGCAGGCTTGCTCTGAGCAAACACTCTCCCAGGCACTGGAGAAAACCAGCAAATAAGACAAACGTGGTTCCTGTACTGTTGTAGCTTACAGAAGAACAGCATGCAGTTCAAGAATCCATAAAGCATATTTTCTATAACTAAATACAAAAAAGCCAATGTCTTGGAAGAATAAAAGGTAAGTTAATGATTCTATAAATTTCTTTTGAAACACTTCTTTGGACACTATACCCTAAATATTAGCCAAAAGATGACACTTCTGATTAAGATTTATTCTTAAATTCAATGATGAAATTCCAAGGTACCTGTTGCTCCTAAGTATAAAACTTAGTTCAAATAAACTCTAAGAGCTAGTGGTAAGCAGGACATGATAAATGAATTTTCTAATTGGATCTTCTAGGGTAGTATTCTTTAATTGTTTAACATTACTAATTGAAATATAAAAAGCTAATAAACAGTCTTTGGAAGAGGAATCTTTAAACTAAAAGATTCATGTACACTGTGTGTGTGTAGATAGAACTAAAGGGAAAGAGGGATTGAAGAATAATTGATTCCTATTAGTATCTTTGGCTTAAAAATATACAATTTGGCTTCTGAGAATAACTTTTAAAGAAAATAATTCATCAATAGAATTTAAATTGTATTCTTTTTCAATATAGAAAAGAAAGTTTCTTCAAAAGTCATTGATATAAAATGATTTTTGAACCCAACCAAATGACTAATTTATATTTTTGTTGGAAAGGAGAAAGGAATGAAAAATAGGAAAATCAGCTATTACACAATAGGTAATCTTATCTGCATTCAAGATGCTCCTTAGAAATAGTAAATAAACTCTGATTCAGACTTGTTTTCACCCGTTTTTCTCTCTGCCTTCGGTTGCAAAACCAAACTCTTACTACTTCTTTCTCAAGACTCAGTTCCTCAGCCATCCGCATGATCTCTTGAGAGGAAGGTTTATTCTGTTCTCCAAAGTGTCTCTCCAGAGCATCTTTAGCAGCAATACTGGTTGCAGGGGATGGGAGGGCATGGGAGGTAGAGAAGGGGTGATAGCATGTTTTTAGTGATATTTTTGGCAGATCAAGATTATGTTGAATTTCCTAAATATAACATGAAAAGTTAAAAACTCTGCAAACACTTTCAAAGCTCTTCAACAAAGATACATGTACAATTTCTCCAGCATTTAGGTACTTGTCTTATGCAGGGTTCCTTAAGCACAGTCACAGAACTAAGTAGGGGAACCTAAGCTTTCTACGTTTATCCCACTTTGTGGCACTAGAGGGCAGTGATTTCCTGAAAAGGAAATAAACATTTCTGTAGACATTTCTAAATGTTCCCTAGAAATCATTTAGGCTTTCACAGTAGACAAAATGTTTAGTGAACAACTCACCAACCAAAACAAAACCTATATTTAGCATTTCTACTGTGAGCCTCATGGAAATTACAGAAAGATCAACAATCTTTCTGATTTGAAATGCAAGGAGTCCGTTTGACTTAAGAGCCTGAAATATTGATTACTATTTTTGTAATATTTAATGAGAGAGACCATATTGCTACAGCAAGACATATCTAAAAGGACAGCAGAAATGGCAACCCTTTTTCAGAAATAATAGTTTTTTTCAGTTTCTGTTTTATCCAAAACGTGGAGCAAGTGTTCTTGAATCAAACAATACATATTTTTCCATCAAATGTTAAAAATTACTAACTCTTCATTTCTCACAATGAAATTATTCCTGTTTTACGTGTTTTTTCAGTTGATTCTATTCACCTTGCGTTTATATGTCATGGTGCACCTATATTGTGCCTAAATGCCCATTCTGTTTGTAAAACACCTTTTTCTTCCTCTAATAACTTTTAGTATTTCAAAGGAATACCTTATAGTTGTTCTTCGTTTCCTTTTCCTTTCATTTGCTCCCACTTTTTCATTGTATAAACCTGTAATGGGGAAAAGAAGGATACTTACAAAACAAACTAGGTTTAAAATAACTATCAGATTTGAGTCTCAAGTTTTCTTTATAAAACAATGCAAAACAAAACCACCCTACATTTTTGTTTTCAATTTTTGCATTCCAGGTTATTTTATTTTACAAGCTCTAGATAAAAATGCGAATGCAGAAGTAAATATTAACTTTGTAAAGACAATTCTCTATAAATAATATGCCTACCTTACTTTTGTTGGGACACTAGTTCTAAATGCTCTCAAATATCACTCTTTAACCTTTACATTGGTGTGAGTAGATGATTTAATCACAGTAAATTGCTCATCTAGCAATTGCTTATGTATTCACTTGGAAGATGGGTGTGTGCAAATGCTCTAGTTACACTAATACTAAGTTATAAAAATGATTCATCTATGATTACTACAGAATAGCACAGAGGCAAAAAAATCAGGATATGGTAAAATCATTTCAACACTTCATGCCTATGCCACATTATTTAGAAAACTGCCCTTACACAGTTTATTCTCTCACTATTTATCCCTAGTAAATGTATTTCTACACTGGCATCAGCCTTCCTGTTTTTAAAGTGTGATGAAGCAAGATATTTGTTATCCCAAAGAGAAAAACAAAATCAAACTAAACCTCAAGCCTCTTGCCCTAACACTAATTTTACCAATTGAAGCCATTGTTTATAGTTTAAAACACCACAGAGCCTTCAGAGATATAGCTTTAGTACCTCCTACTTGCTCAGCTTCCTCCAGCCATTTGGATAATATTGCTTTCAGTTTGCATGCATTTTTAAAGCTGAGCTGCAGGTTCTCAAATCGGCAGATAGTTGTCTGACTGAACTCAGAGCCATGCACGGCTGCGAGAGCTTCCCCAACATTTGTTTGGGTGTATCCTGTGGAAGCACAATAGACCCTGTTAGTGCCAGCTTTTCACGGTCCAGGTTAGTCATTTTGGTTCATTATCACACAAGTCTGCATCTTTCTTTGTCAACTCCTGAATGCTGCTTTTACGCATATATTCATTGGCAATTCAGAATGATTGATAAGGTTCAGTGCAGGATTGTCCACTACTTCAAAATATATTCCTTCTGGTTAAGAAATGACTTTTTTCTAGAAGTCAAGAGAATTCAGATAGGAACATCTGCATTTTTTATTTATTCACATTGGATAGATGTGTCATCAACACTTTATAAGTCACTTAAATATTCTTGCTTTATCATTATTATTAAATATCTGACATATGCTCAAAAATCTATAGTTTATAAAATATTATGCATAAAATATATATCATAAATATTTTTATCTCAACTGTAAGTGAAAAATTCAGCTGTATTATTGAAGGGTAGCAAATAAAACTAAGAATTATGTTTACTTTCCCTAAATATATATTGAGATTATGATCAGCCAACATGTTATGTATACTTCTGAGCACATTTATTATACCATTTGGTACTGCTTCTATCTCCAGGCAAAAGTTCCTCATTGATAGTCCCAAACCTTTTTAGAGTACCAGTTGGTAGAAACCATCAATATAGAATTTGAAACATTCACAGCAACATAAATAGCAAACTAAAAATCAATGTTGTAAAGATGCCTACTGTTATGTTTATTACATATAGTAACTATATATTAATTCAGGGCCTAAGGCTACCTACCTGTATGCATAAAATGGTTACATATGATGCCCATCAATAAATACCATGATAAAATTACCTGTAGTTCATTCCACAAGTGCAGAAGTTTGAACTATCATTTTCAATCCATTAAAGATAATAAAGTCCTTCATGAATTTAAATCAAGGTTAATTGTTATTTCATGTTAAAAACACTTCAGTTGTAAGTGAGCAAAGGCTGTGAATAGACAGTTCACAGACAATGAATTACAGATGACTGTCAAACACAGGAAAGAATACTTTTCAATTTTTACTCATAAAAGAAATTTAAAATGAAATTGTCATAAATGATCTATATGATCTGTAAAGATCCAAAAGATTAATAGCATATTTTTTCCTTCAACAACTAATACTTATTCTATATTCCAGTCACTGTTCTAAGTGCTAAAGACATGCTGTTAAGGAGTAAAGAAAAAAAAAAATTAAGACTAACAAAAAATCCTGTCTTCGTGGAGATTATATTCTCTTTTGAGACACTTATGGTGGTAGTAACATTTGGTACCAATTCTATACAGATCAATTTGACCACATCTATCAAAATTACAAATACACATACTCTGATAAAGCAATTTTGCTTTTAATACTTTTCCAAATATACATTTCTATAGGTGAGAAGTGACATTTATGAAGTTAATCATTGTAGAATTCTTTTTACCATGGTAAGACTAGAGACCACCTCAATTTACCATCAGTAGGGAACTGTTATAATGAATTGTAGTATATTCATAAAAAATTGGACAGAGCCATTAAAATAAAGTCTTTAAAAATGAATACAGAGAGCTCTTCAAAATAGTTAAATGAAAAAAATTTGTATGAAGAAATATATATATATATTGGCTTGTATATGCATAAGAAATCTCTGGAAGGATACACATGTAACTAATATTGATAAACAGGAAAGACAAGCAGAAGGGATACATACCTTTTTATGCCTTCAAATCATATGAATGTATCACCTATTCAAAAGTTTAAATAAAGTGAATCTTGGGTAAGTTAAAAAAAAGTGCCATTAATGTACAAATCTATATATTTCAACTATTAAAAATTTATAAGGAAATGAAGATTTTTGTAGGATTTTCATAACTGGACTTACTGAAATCCAAAGCAGAGATGCAGAATGAGAACTGTCTTAGCCTTTTGAGCAGAGTGTAAGATTTCTTGAAAATACAGTAATAGAGTTAAAATTTTGCAGACTAGGTTGTGTGCCCCATTGCTTTTAAAAAGTGCATACCTAATTTAATTCTTCTCACTTTAAATTCATTGGCAAACTTTTCAAGTTCTCGGATTTCTGGAGAATCCATGTCTATTGGCTCTTCAACCAGTTTACTTTTCCGCCTGAGTTCCTGCTTGAAATCAGCGACCGTGGGGTCCTCTGCCAGGAGGGGCTGGTGCATGGGAGGAAAGCCATGACTCAAGGTGTGGTCAGGAAACTTATAGAGACAAGGGGTTAAGCTACCTGTGAATGCACAAAAAAAGAAAAGGAAAAGGCCATTTGTAATTAGCCCCCATTCCTGTACAAGCAAGAGTTTTCTCGTTAGAATCCATCATTCTGCTGCAGCTACACTCAGTTCTAAAAGGTTAACTGACATTCGGTCTTCTGAAATAGAAGTCAGAGTAGCCTAGGATAAACTTGATTATTTATTTTTCACCTTTCCCAGAGTAGCAGAAACAAAGGAAAAAACACGGAATTGAAAATAATTGCAATAGAAATAAGCAAATTTGCTCAGAAGTCGTAAGTTTTCCATCATATTTTTTTCTCTTAAGAGACTCCTGTTCCTGGTAATCTGAGAGGTTCAACTCTAACCAGAATGTATATTTTGGTCTCTTTTTTCCTAATTCATTGACTAAATTATCTGTGATGATTTGTTATAATCAAGACACATGGTTAAATGCTATGCTGGGAATTTTTCTTGAGATCAGAAAATTGATTTTATGATATTAAGAAGCCCCACTGTTTATCAGTATATGCTTAATTTTGGGGGGAAGTAATGTCTTTTTAAATTAAGAAACACGGGTAAAAAGAATTATGAAAGCATGAAATACATAATATGGTTGAATCAATTCAAGGAGTAAATAGATAATTTTTAAAGTTCTATTAAAAAATCAACAAGATTTCTTGAAAAATACACAATATAGTGGAATCATTTCTTGATGATTAAGATGCAAAAATAAGGGAAAGGAAAGGTAGAATTCCATATATGATAGGTAATCACTTACAAATGATGAAGCATAGAATTGGTTGAATGGTTTAAGTAATAAATCACAAAAAATGTAATCTAAAATTTTTTTAAATTGCTTCTAGATTTCATTCTGTTTTAGGGAGGGACTATCTCAGTTGGGGAACATGGATGAGAGGATGTTATTAGCCATTCCCACACATTTTATTTGTTTTTTTTCATCAATTCATTACATTTTTATTGGTAGATATCTTACTTCAACTTATATTAAATGACACATGTATAAAGAAGACATTTTGATATAAATAAAATATTTAGTAATCATTTTTCTAAGCAAATATTTAAACTAAAAATAAATTACTATGGAATAAATGTAACAATTATTCTTGGAAACAGTGAAAAAATACACCAAGAGTTTATGCTACCTATAATTTCTCTATAAATACATTCACAAGTCGGGGACATGAGTAATAATATATTTTTCCAGAACATATAATCTTGCATTAATATATCAATATGTAATGAGCAAAAGAATAGTGTAAGTCAGCAAATCGGTGGCTTGTATTATTTATATGAGAATATGTAACTGTAAAGTGTATCCCATCCAATAGACTATGTTCTTTTTCTGAAGCAAAGTAAATGTGGAGTGAGAGATTAAACAAAACAGCATAAAATAAATTTAGCTGCTTCACAGATGTGAAAAATATTTGAAATAAACTCTTCCTGTCTAGAAAATTTCACACCATTTTTCAAACCAAAATTATCCAGTTTTACTTTTTAAAAATCAGTTAATCATCCATATTATGCTTGGTTGGATTACATACACTGATCAGGCTACATAAAAATTTTAAAAGTAATTGTATCAATTTTAATTTATTACATAGCTCATTATTCAAAATGTTTATATTTTAGGGGTTCATTTCTAGCTTTCTATTAGTTTGAGATTTCTGCTAGTTGAAGTTAAAAAAGACTAATAATACATAAAAAGAAAACTGATCAAATTTTCAGTATTTGTTTTACATGTATTTTCAGAGTTGGTTCTTATGTATATCAAAAATCCTTCACTTCTTTCAATATTCACAAATACCAAATGTCACTTAATACACTTAATGACAAAACACCCAGAAACAGTAAAAGCAGAGAGAAGAAATCAGGCTGTTACTTGATTTTACATATTTCATGTATTTTAAGGCACTTTAGGTAACCTTTAACTATGTCAAATTATTTTATTTTACATAACTAATTTGTTGCATATCTTTCATGAGCTATCGTAATGTCTGAGTTTGTTAGCAATCAGCCATTATTTTCAGTTTATCTTGCTGTTCATAATCACACATTGCTACAAATCTGTGTAATACTTGGTTCTGTGTTCATTTCACATTTTTGCATCTTCTTATCCTTATATACATAATTGAGGTAGGAAGGATCTGTATTTTTTACCCACAATTGAATATGTAGGGAATTTCAGTAAAATGAAGTTAAATGACTTTCCTTGGGCACCACAATGAATTAACTATAACTTGAAACTAGAACTGAAGTCTAATAATCATTGCAATAAACCACACCAAAATAACTGTCTAGTTCATTTTCCAGTCAGTTGGTAGTCAGGTAAATCACACTCCTTTGAAGACTTCTGCAATTTAAATATGTTTAGCTACATTAAACAAATGCTTTCAGACAAAAATATTATAATTATTTATTAAAATACAAGCATGCCATCTCTATTTCTGGAAAATTTTAAAGATAGTTCATACCTCGTAAACACACTAGAGAAATGGGCATTTAGGAAATAAATTTGAACGTGCATTCATGAGTAGTGCATATGTTGAATATCATGTTCAGAGTTTTGGCATCCAGAGCAAAAAATAAAGCTCAGTGTGTGATATGTTTTTTTTTTTCATTAACTGTAAATATCCCCAATTATCAACAGGGACACAGTTTTCCTGGAACTAACCTTAAACAGAAATTCATAATGACAATCCAATTGCAGTTTCTAGCATATGACCCTGTATTAAGGGGGCGAGTGGGAGTGATTGGCTGGGATATCATAAAAGATATTCTTTAAATCTTTCTAAAACCTGGATTTTTTAAAAAGAAGAAAGAGGAAGAAAATTAAAAATGCACCGAGTTGTGTGCAGCACAGACCTGATAAACAATTTCCCAAACAATGATAGAACAAAATTATCTGTAAACCTAGACCCGTGCATACTTAAATAGCTTGGCGGTGTCTGCCTGTTCTCTAGAGCCCAAACTATATTTTCACAGGTGAATTCACCACAATCTTTATGAATTGTTCTGTGTTCCAGATAAACTGAATTTACAAAGCCAGGCAGAAGACCCCTGTTGTACACGGGTAGGATTTACCAATGCACTGGTAAAATACATCATGTTACTGCAACTGAAAGGCCCTTCATAGTTCAGAGGCAAGAGATTTTCAGGATTGCTCCTTCCCTTAGAGTCTTCAGAACCAGAACAAGTTAGGGAAAAATAAAATGAACAAAACAGAACAAAAGGAAAGGAAGAGGAAAGGACACAATTTAAGATGAAGAGATGGGCTCCAAAGTAGACTATTTCTCTATGTCAACTGTCAAATTAATTTTTTATCTTTTTTTTGCATTAGCCCAGGTGAAGAGGGCACTTTCAACCATAATAATCTTTTCTCTTATCAGCCTCTTCTCATGAAAAAAGAACAGACATTCACCTTCTTGGTTAATTCCCAAACCTCAGCTATTTTGCTTTCCTCTTAAAACTGAATTTTAAACAAGGACTCTCACACTCTCTTGGTTTGGCCATTCTGCAGCATAAGCTTCACATTCCATGCAGCTGATCTGCTCAGCTTCCATGGGATGTGGGGCAGGGCGGACAGCCCATTAAGCTTGTCTCCTAAATTTCACCCAGCTTTAGAAAGTGGAGAACAGATATAATCTGATGTCCAAGAATCAGAATTTTGAGGATTTTTTTTTGTTATTTTGTTTTGTGGTTACCTAAAAAGAATTTCGAATAGCATTCATAATTCCTGTTTATGTAATTTATGTTTCCTGTTGTCTATGCTGTAGGCTGTTGAATTATCTAAATTCTTGGGAGCAAAGGGACAGAGGCAGGAATTTAGCTGCAGGTGTATTTAAAGAAAAGATCAAAGGAGAAATTCAGGTGAGTTGGTATGAATTTTTGACTACTGAACTCTGGTAGACCTGCAGTACCTACCACAACTTGGCTAAAAAGACTGAAACTCAGAGAAAATAACTGACTTACCAAGGTTCTTAATTAGTTCATGGTGTGACTAATTCATTGCTCCTGATCAGTCCTTCTCATTGGTCGCCCTACACCTGAGCTATGAGGCATAATGGATTCATCTGATAATTCAAGTCCTCCCTATCAACCTTAACAAAGTATTAGCTATAGCTTTTCCCTTCCAGTGGGTTATTAATTTAATGTAATGCTCAAACTAAATGTAAGCATCCGAGTATGGGTAATAAGACAACCACATTAAAATAAAGCAATTTCACATCCTTTGAAATATATAGCTCTTTCTGTAGTTTCACTTTCATATGGCGTCTGTGACAATAAGCCTGTCTTTGTTGTTGATGATAAAATACTTCAGTGGATTGTGTGGAAGAGACTGATTTGATGAATGCCTTGAGACTTCTCAGAAAATTCTAATGGCATAACCAGGTTTCTCTTGCGTATTTTATACCTATGCTCTCTGATTTGTGAATTTCTGTGTTTTATAACTCAATCTGTGTAGCTTCTCTGGGGATGAAGACAGGAGAGTTCAGATTCTCAGAGATTGAATATGTTACAATGTAAATGCTTATACTGAATATATGTCAAAATAGTGAAAGTCTAACAAATTAAAGAATCTGTCACATTTTAATGATAGCCCTCTCAAAAAATATTCAAATATAATCTCTGCTTGCCTTCTGTGAGTTTTTCTTTCGATGACAAAGTGTATGTAATTTTTTGTTGTTGTAGGACTACAGTGACCCCTGCAAATCTTAGGGTGACCATTTTGCTCCTGATGTAGCTAACCCAGGCTTTGGAACATGTTAAAGGGTTTTTCCAGGAGTTTTTCCTTTTTAACTGCAAAGAGGAAGAGGGTTTGCTGAGTTCCTGCTGAGGGTATTTTGTACCAGCGCACCCAGAAGCCTGTGGAACCTCAGTGTGGACCAGAACCTGTTCGCTCCAACCGTGGGAACTATAAGGTTAGGATTCTCAGGCCAGCTGTGAAACAAGAGGCCAAGGAAGGAATCCGGTGGGGAGGGAGGTAGTAGCAAAAGCCACATGAGATTATTTAGTCTGAGGCTGACTTTATCTTTGTGTTGATATCAATCCATTGCTGCCTTTTGAGGGGCTCAGAGGGCACCAGGGATCCTGGGAATCATTGAGAGTGAGCAGCAAGGGCTCTCCTCCAGGAGAGGGCGCTACTGCACGTGTGCTTGTCATTTCCTGTCTCCATAATCAAAACAAAGTGGCGGCCCTGGGAAGCGTTCTGCTTGCATCTCTAGTGGCTAAATGCACACTATTTTACTACGTTATATGAATGTAATTTATCATCAATGAGGGCTTCTCTCAGTAACTGAATACTGATTACTAAGTATATGAATCATAAATAATCAGTTTTCAAAGGAGAAGAAAAAAGTATGGCTATCCTTATTTCTTATTTTAAAAAAAAGAGACATTAGGATTTGTAGGTAATCATTAAAAACATAGTCTTCATTTACCATAAGGGATATTAGTTGATTCAGAATGCTTGATAGGATGTAAGTAAAGCTAATTTGTTCTAGAATATTTTATTCCAAAGTTTTAATGTTTTATGTAGTCTTAAACTGAGAAGTTTTGAGAAATTAAATGTTGGTGAACTAAATTCTTTGACTTTATTTCAAATGTAGACATAAGTCCTTTTTTTAAAATCACTTAATCTGGAGGATAACAAAATACAACAGTTAGAAGAGATCCCCCTAATACACAATTCCTTTATCTCAAGTTTCTTCCTCATCATCTCATGCCCCCCCACACTCATTATTCTCACATAGAATCTTAACAGTTTATTGTCATCCATCTTTCTCTTCCTGCTGCAATAATAAATAGAAAAGATAAAAGAATCTCTAAAAAATATGTGTACAACAAAATTGTGTTCTCTATTAACTGCTAAAATCTTTTATCTGGCCATATCCTAAAATCAAGTCATACCTTGTGTGTGGTGGTGAATCTCTTGGGATGAGATTTTCCTCTCCCTTAAGAAATGTGCTGTCAGTTCTTTCACACAAGCATCAGTAAACAGTTAGTCTTGATCTTGGTGCTTCACTTATCCAGAGGAGAAATGCACACAACTTAAGCTTCAACTATTTCATTTTCATTTAAGAAAGGGCTGCTGAAGCCTCAAACAACTATCGCTAAAGCTGCTGTGAATCACTCTTAGCTTTCAATGTCTTAACTATCCTTGCGGACCACCTGGCCAGAAGAAATGAGAAAGTGTTTTACAAATATGGGCTTTGGGAGCCACATGAGGGTTTTGAGCACTGAAAATGTGGCTGGTACTGAGGAACTGAACTTTAAGTTTAAAGTTTAGTTATTTTCAATTTAAATTTGAATAGCCCCATGAGGCTAATAGCTACCATATTATTACTGGAGGCAAGCCACCAATAGCATCAACAAGTAACCGTTGGCAATTTGGCAGTAGTGAATTAGGATAAAAATCATACAAAACAAGCATTAGAATTAAGAAGCACAGCAGTTCAGGGCTATGTAGAACAAAAGCAATCAGGTACAACCATTATGATCTCTGAACGCTTCACAGATCAGGGGACATTTCAGTAAGTGGTGCTTTACCACATATTTCCAAGGTTAACAGATCAGAATTTCATGGCACACTCCAATCATGATTCCCTCGGACCCAAGAAATCCATCTAAATGTCCCCAAATGTTGATCTCATACATACAATTTTTCTTACCTGCCATCACTCCGTAGGTGGATGGCTGGTTTCCATAATGACAGGAAGGAACAGAATAATGAAGTCCTGTTGCTGTGTTTCCCAACGTTGTCACCAAGAAATATGTGCGCAAACATTTAGGAGTTTGGATCAAAGACAAAATAGACGGGACTGGTAAGAAAATGCATGAGGATTCAAGACACATTCATTTCATTTAAAAAATACACATTTATGTGATGATGAAAGTTATTTGCTCATAATTTTCATTTGAGGGAAGTTCTCTGATGATTATGTTAAAACTAGGAATCAAAGTTTGTATCAAGTAATAAGGTCACAAATCATCAATGTGAATGATAACCTTCATTAATTATCCTGTGCCTTGTAAAGGGGTGACTGCCCAGGTTAGACCTTAGCAACTTGAGATTACAGAATTTTTGTAGGCTCCATCCAATATAAACATTACACAAACTGACTAGAAGAATAGTCTCTTAAAATTCTTGTGTAACACGGTTTTACAAAGTGGTCTTTCTCTGGAAGAAAGAATACAGAAATAGACTCTTGAACAGCCTTCACTTTTGTTCATTCTCCTAACAAATTTCTCCCATCAAAGAGGAAAGGGCAGAGCAGCTAGCCTATTGGATATAATCATAAAAATCCTACTAAATACAGAGGTTTGTTAAAAAACCTGTGACCCTGTGGCAGTGCATGATGTATTTCTGTTGATATTGAAACAAAGAGCTTGTAGGTTTTCACATGTACACAATCAATTCACAATTTTAACAATAAAGCTGGTTAATAATTAAATTAATTGTTAAGTGACTTGAAGTCTATAAAGGTTGAACATCATATACAAAACATAACCTTATTTATAGTTATATGCCTTGTGGAATCTCTGCATATTTTGAAAGCAAATTTGAATTACTCAGCTTTTACCAAGCTTTAAACATGGGTCACCAAGTTGACTAAGAGAAGGGACTGTTGACAATAAAACCAGTAGGCAATGTTCCCTTGTATATTTTATTTTCTCATTTTTCTTTCATATCCTGAGTATAGTGGTGGGTTTCCATAAATATATTGTTTTAAATACATATTAGATAAAGTATAGAATTAGAATCATTTGAAACTATTGGGATATAAGCTAGTGATTCAAGACATAAAGTCACTTCCCAAAGTAAAATATTTTCTCTAATTATTGATAAATCTTTAATACTTTAAAATATCTGCATAAATTTTCATTTTACAACTGATATGTGGAAATAACTGAAGTCATTTTACATTATAATGATATTTTACATTATAATTACACATAAACATCTCACTGTGCATTCCAAAATTAAACAAATAACTTGAAACACATTTAATGCCTAAGTTATCTTCTCATTATAACTAATATTTCTAATTTCTTAGACAATTAAGTGTATATGATTATAATCTGATGGAAAAATTATAAAATCAATATTATTACTTGAAACACATTTTTAAAAAAGGTCATTTTTATTGATTATGGTATTTTTTTATTTTTAAGCTTAAATACTTTTTGTTTCTCTTATTTAGGGAAGCTGGATAAAAAACAGGCTAATTTACTAAAAACATCTTTATGTATTTTTAGAGGTTTTTGAGCCTCTAAATTTTTTGAGCCTCCATGCTAAATTATTACCTCAATTCTAAATTTTATTTTCATTCCAGTCAAGTACTATTCACATATAGTAGATTAAACAATTCATTATTCTTATCCCCAATGTATAAAAATATCTATTATTTAAAATACACCACTAGTTATGTGATAATTGTTTAAATTTACTTACAGCACATATTTTTGGTTATAAGGTTTCACTACATTTCCAAACAAATGTTTGAGGATAATTCCATTACCTTTTTAATTAAATTATGAGAATCTTTGGTAGATGAAAAAAAAAATGTACGTAATGATTTTACCAGAATCTAGATATATAATCTCTAGGTTCTTTAAAATGCAGTATAAGATTAATGCCAAACTTACATACATGTTTGGAAACTGCTCAGTTATAATAAGGTAAAGCTTAAATCCTTTAAATCAAAATATAAATGAATCAACTGAAATTTTGATTTCTCAATGTATAAAATGTATTTCATATTTAGATTGCTTTTAAAACAAGTAGAAAGTAAATAATATCTTGCTACTTAATGGAAGAAATTGACTCAAGACTTTGTCCATTTATAAGTCTACTTTAAAACCGTTACTACATAGTTAAAGAAAAGGAGACTAGCAAAACACACTTATTTGATTGCTTGAAACAATACATTTGAATTCTCAAGCTTAATTTTTATTTTAAAAAGTTATATAAGAAAATATTAAAACAGAGGTTGAAGTCTCTTGAGAATTCAATCTTAAGAAAATGAAACTCAGTGTACAGACTCTAAATGTCATATATTGCTTCTAGCCTTGATTTTTGAGTTTTGAATTATACTAAAAAGCTTAGTTTATTAAAATTATCTAATTACTTAAAAATTGTTCTTTGAAGTCCATTTCTTTTGGTATTGGGAATCATTCAGTTGTGTTTATTATGAGGTATATGGCTGTTTTTAGACATGGTAGTAAATGTAATCCAAAAGCCAAATGCATCTTTAAGACAAAGAAATTACACCTTTTAAACACTACATTTTTTTAGACTATTTCTTTAGCTTTGCTCTTTATCCATAAACATTTACATAAACATGGTTTTTGGAAAACAGCCAGATTCACTGTTTACTTATATAGAAAACAGATCTTCTTCATAATAAAACCAACAATCACTGAAATTACTACACTTACTAATATTTATTGAAAATTTCTCACTTTGGCTGCTTTAATATCCTTAATAGTCAACTTAAAACAAAATAAAATGAAGGAGAAAATAAAAGAAGTAAAGAGATTCTAAACTAACAAGATTCAATGCGTTCCTTCTGACACCTTTAGGCTCAGCCACATGTAGACTATTGGACTCGGTACCTGTCGACATCACATTGGTGGTATGGTTGGAGACTGGTAGGCCCTCGGCAGCACTGTGATGCATTATCAAAGGCAGAGTTGCAGAAGACTCTGAATTCAAAGGTATAAAGGTATCAGCCGAAGTAAAAGGTTGGCAACTCATTCCCACGAGAAGATAGAAAAATGGGAGAACTGCTGTTCCCCAAATCAGAGTTTGATTATATTACCGTCTCAAATGGCCGGTTCAAACCTCCCTGTCTGCATATATACATCAGGAGGGCTCTAAAGCGCCAGGAGGGCGCGTGCTAGTATTTATACTGCAGGGAAAGCCCTTTATACATGTTAATCATCTTTTCCCAGGGGTATTGCTTTATCAATCTGAGCCGTCTTCTTTTTTACCCAAGCATAATCCATGCCCAAGAGGGAAGCTGCTTTTGGGGTATAGATTGAGGGAAAGGGAGAAATCTGAAACTTTGACAACTTTAGTAATTCAGACCTTTTAGAAAGGAATCAAGAACTTCAAAAGAAGTGTCCCTCTAAGAAATAATTCTACATGAATTGAAAAATACTGGATATCTTTTTGCTATTAACACAATGACAAATTTATATGCATGAGATTTCTTTTCTTTTTTGGTATCTTCTCATTAAATCTGCAAAGTAACATAAAATGAGAGAGCATACTACACAATTTTAAGGAGCTATGAATATATAAGTTTAAATTGAAGGAAGCCTAGAAAACTAAATAAGAGAATGACTGTGTTGCTAACTACTGATTCAGACTCAACAATGTAATTGTGAAAAAATAAAAACCAATTTAACTGTTACTATATTATGAATGGAAAATAAAAAAATATTGAATAAAACTGCAGTAATATAAAGAGATGAACTTGAGTGATAATATCTTTCCCCTGATTTTAATTTATTCATAAAAAACTTTTAGTAACATCTTACCAGATGTTAACACTGTTCTAGGCACTTCCTACAGTTGTGCCATGCAGCTCACACATCTATGTGCGTTAGGTGCCATACCATCCCCACTACACTGGACTGTGCCAGAGCCCCTCATCTTAGCTGTTCTGCTATTCTGCTCTACAGCCTGTGGTAGCCGTGATAGCACTGAGTGCAAACTCTCCACACAGAGTACACTGACCTGAAGTGAGAAGAAAAAAAACAGTCCATTACAAACAGCTGGTGCAGAAGTAAAAATATCAGCACTGAGACTTTACAATGATCATGATCTCTACATATAAATGAGCTAACACAATACTATTTGTAGAGTGTATATTAGGGGTCATATTGCAAACAGAAGAAACCTGACAGACATAGATATTATTGACAGAAGCAAGGGCTATGCTTCATTAGATTTTTTTGAAATTTTGTATGATGGCATGTTTCAAGATAACTTGGTATTGGTTGTGTTGTGTTAAACTTAATGTTAATGTTGACAAGAATACTTTTTCAAAAAACCTCAAACTTGCATGCTTAGTTTTATTTTGTAGATAAATACAGATTGCCCAAATTATTAGATATTGCCTGAAAAAAATTTATTCTAAAAGATGACATTATTCTTCCACTGTAAATTCTGTATCCTTGAAGCTCTAATAGCATCTTCTAATGAGAGAAGAAAGTTACAATTCACAAAAGTATTTATTTCACACTTGCAGAATATTCAGACTTCACATACACAAGAAAAGTAGTTTTTCAATGGATATATAAAGAGAATTTGCTAAGAAAATTATATAAAAATAAGCTTATCAGGTATTGAATATTTTTAAAACTAAGCTAAATGATATTTAGAGAGAATAGCCCTTGAAAATCACCCCTAATCATGTTAGTGTTATTCAGCAGAATTGGAATATGTTGGTAAAGTATATTAACCAAATGATAGATAATGAGGAGTACCATAAAACCTCCCTGGGGAATAATAAGAAAACTTTCCCATGTTATCTAAAATTCTACAACTGCAATCTTAGACATAATTTCCTTTATAATGTTTTTAAATTTTTAACTATTTGTGCTCTGAAATTCAAACCAGAATGCTCCGTTCAAGTTGTAGGAAGCCAAGAAATAGATGTTTCAACCATAGTCTTCTCACTTAATACTATCAGCTATTAATTTATCAGTGTTTTAAATCAGCTTTTTGTAAACATTTTAATTTTGCATAATATAATATTGAATTGTATAAATTTATTATAGTTTAATCATTTCTTTTGTTATATGTATTGCTTTCTGCTTTTCACTTGTATGTGTAACAACACAATTAACTTTCATCCAAAAAAATTTTTTACACAATGCAGTTTTATAGTATAAGCTTGATCTCCCACAAAATAGATTCTTAGAAGTGGAATTGTTGAGCTTGTCTTATAAGATTTTTGAAGTTCTTGAAAACACTCCCAAATTGCTTTAAAAAAATACTTTTTTTTTAAGAGCAGTTTAAGATTCATGGCAAAATTGAGCAGAAGGTACTGAGTTCCCATATACTCCTTGTCCCCCAACACGCAGTCCTCTCCACTATCAACATCCCCCACCAGAGTGGTACATTTGTTAAAACTGATGAATCTGCATTGACACATCACTAGCACCCAAAGCCCACAGTTTGCATTTAGAGTTCACTTTTGTTATACATTCTATAGGTTTTGACAAATGTATCATGACTTGTACCCACCATTACATGACATCTGACCCTAAAAATTCTCTGTGCTCTGTTTATTCATCTGTCCTTCCTAACCCCTGGCACCACTGATCTTTTCCTAATCTATAGTTTTGCCTTTTCCAGAATATGCTCTAGTTGGAATCTCACAGTATGTAGCCTTTTCGGGTTGGTATCTTTTGCTTACAAGGTGCACTGAAGGTACCTCCAGGTGTTTTCATGGCTTGATAGCTCATTTATTTTTAGTGCTGAATAATATTCCATGTGGGGATGTACCCCAGTTTATTTATCCATTCACATACCGAAGGACATCTTGTTGTTTCTCCATCGCGGCAATTATCAATAAAGTTGCTAAAAACACCTGTGTGCAGGTTTTTGTGTAGACGTTAATTTTCAATTACTTTGGGTAAATACCAAGGGGCACAATTGCTGGATCATTTGGTAAATGTTTATTTAGTTTGGTAAGAAACTGGCAAACTGTCTTTCCAAAGTGTCTGTACCATTTTGTATTCACACCAGCCATGAAAGAGAGTTCCTGTTGCTCCACATCCTTGGCAGCATTTGGTGTTGTCAGTATTTGGGGTTTTAGCTGTTCGAGTAGGTGTGCAGTGGTATCTTGTTGTTTTAATTGTTCACTCCCTAATGACGTATGACATGGAGTATCTTTTCACATGCTTATTTGCTATCCATGTATCTTCCTTAGTGAATGGTTGTTCATTTTAAAATTAGGTTGTTAGTTTTCTTACTGTTGAGTTTAAAGGGTTCTTTGTATGCTTTAGATAACAGTCCGTTATCAGGTATGTCTGCTGCAAATATTTTCTCCAAGTCTGTGACTTGTCTTCCAAATTGCTTTTACAAACAATTTGCTCAGGTTCAGTCTAAATATTAGGAGCAATTTGAGCAAAAAATAGTTCCCTATTGTTAGGAGAGTTAGGGGTTTCTTGAAACACAGAAAAGAAGAATGTCAGGCCATAGGCAGAGACTGAATAAGAAATGAAAAGTCATTGGCCATATCTCTCTGACGCTTCTATTTCTTTTTCCCTGTGTTTCTCACTTCTCTTACTCTCAGCTAAACAGTCTGTTGGATTCTCCATCTATGGCCACTGCACAGCTCTCCAGATCATGCCTTAGGCTTTTAACCAGGCAAAGAAATCACTTGCTGCTTCTGAGTCTACATTTATGAGAGAAACATTATGATTGGCCATGGCTCTTGATGTGTTCCAGATGCACAACATGGTTCTCAGTGCCCACACTTGTGAATGGATTGGTTTTCACAGGAAGTATCCAGTTATTTATAGACAAAGAGGGATAGACTTATCTGGGAAGACATCCTTAAAATGTGATTCATGCTGTTCTGCCAATTTACAATAGCACAAGAGAGTAAAACTGACATTTTCTTGCATTCCCAATGTTGGTAATAAAACCTGAGGCTATATCAGTCTGTTAAGACAATGGCATTTTATTAATTTAATTAGCATTTTTATTACTATGCTATCTTTTCATATCTACAATAGCTATTTGTATTTATTGTTTCATTAATTAACAGTGTTTTTGCCCTTTAATATCCTTGTTTTATTATCCATATGTTTTAAAGATATGTTAAGAATATTAATTTTAATTGCTTTCAACATTTTATAATTAAAACTTTCCTAACTTCTTGCTTGTCTTTTGAATATATCAGACAGTGACATACATAATATTTTATGTTTGAGCTAAATATATTGACCTTTTCTTTTGTGCATTTGTTAATGGTTGTAAGTTTTAAAATTCTGTCATATCCTTAGTTTTGTTTTTGTTTTTAGTGAGTTTGGAGCCCCCACAAAACTCCTGTTGACATTTAAGCTGCACATCCATATGTTTCTGGAGTTCATTTATAATTGCTTACATTCTAATGAAAATTGTAGCACAATTTGAAAACCATCAGATGAAAAAAGAAGAAAAACCTATTTCAGGTTAAGTTAATAAAATGAAATATAGCAGAAGTCTGAGGTACATTTGTTAGTCTGATTCATTCAATTTCTTCAAGTAAGTAAAGGATTACTTTTTTAAAAAATACAATGTGTTTTGACAAAATGATCGCATTTTAAGAAAAATCTATAAAGGTAGAAAAATGCTTCTAAGAAATAATATTCAAATCTATTTATCTCAAGATATTAGAAATATTTTTTTCTTTTTCACATCTATATGTTTTTTAACTTTTCCACATTTTTACTTGAGTTTAAAAGTATAGCATAATTATTCAGCATATAGAGAGATTCTGGAGCCAAACTGTTTGGGATTAAATTCAAGCTTTATACCTTAATAGCTATGCAGGGATTGGGAGTAACTTTACCTTTCAGCATCTCAGTTTATCTCATCTGTAAAATAGAGATGATACTGATAATCATTTCATTTAGAACAATGCCTGGCATGTAATAAATTCTCAATATTATTAAAAAGTTCATTTTTATAATAATAAGTGATTGTGCTTCTTCAGTCTATGTGATTTATGGGTATGATTTCATCTGATCCTCACA